CGTGGAAATCTTCTCGGCTGAGGTGGGGAGTGGTGCTACCAAGACAACATCCTTGGCAACACGCCCATCTTCGGCCACGACGCGGTAGCTGTCCGCGGCTCGCGCGTTCTCGCAGAGCGTTGCTTTGATGCGGCATCTTTGAGGTGACAAACGTCCTGGTGCTCGTGCTCTACCGGCATGCCATGCAGAATGCAATGGTGGCCTATCCGGAGACCCGGAAGGCTCGCAGCAGGGCTCCGCCACAGAGCTCCAGCTTCGGCGCTCTGAGGTGGTCATCGCAAACGAGACATGGAGGAAGCAAACCGACTGCCCGGAGCCATCAGGCACAGATCGCGCTCTTCCGCGAACCAAGCCGATACTGACTCACGCTCCCATCTCAATGCCTTCGAAAAATTCGGTGAACATTCCAGGATGCAACGTCTTGGAAAAGATTTCGAGTGTGTTGTACCGAGTAGGGAGAGCACCCGTGTCCAGGTCTTACTTTTCTTGTTGGCACTAGCTGCTGGCCCATGAGTCCTATGCTGAAGAGCCTGTTGGCCAGTGATGACTAGCAGCCTCTAGGAACCAGGCTGGAACCAGGCTTCCAGGCTTCGATTGCCCCTTGTGCCCTGTGCTGCAGCTCTGCCCGTCTTTGCCAAGCTCCCTGCACGGAACCCAGCCGAGCCCTGGCCCGGTAGCCCGCGCCGTGGCTCGGAGTCCAGGCATCGCTGCTGGCAGACATCGTCGAGGAGGCGAAGCCCGTCTACTACCGGCCTTGTGGGGAGCCCAGAGCCGGAGCTGAGGGCTAAAGGAGGCGCTCGGCGCACTCGGCGCGACGCAGAGGCTCCTTGCTCTACTCGCCCGGTGAGTCCATAGAGGAAGAGGCCATGCTCTTCGTGGTGCGCGGTGAGGCGCTTCCAGCAGTCCGCGTTAAGATTCCGAGTCTGCGTTGACGCTGGTCCTCGCAGTTGCAAGTGACCATCATGGGCATCGAAGTTCGAAGGATCGCAGCAGGCGGAGTCTTTGCAGCTCCTTGAAGCCCTTAAAGTGAATATCGCTGCACCTGTGCGAAGGGGGCTACGTGGGGCTTCACCACTTCATGGGCTTGGATTGTTCCGCACCGAACGCCCGGGGACCGATGATTGTCACTGACATCAGCAACATCACCAACCATCACCACGGCTACCGGCGTCCCCTTTCTCTTCCTCACCATCATCATCGTCATCGTACGCATCATATTCACTCGTCATCATGTCCTTTCTTCCTCCTCATTGAATCGTCGTTGACATCAGCATCAGTTACTCGTCATCGTCATGTTCTTCGTCATTTCGAGAGTTCCTCGCTACAGCACATCGGCACAATCATCCTCATCATACAGACCACAGCCGGATTGCGCCAGCACCATCAGCGTCATCGTCCTCACACCAATCACCACAATCATCATCAATATCAACAGCACCATCGTCTGTACCTGTCGTCATCCTCATCAGAAGCAGCATCAGCACCACACCATCGCAGTCATCATGGCAATCGGTTTTTTGGATAATTGCTCTTGATCGAACTTGATCCACATTTCTACATCGTTATCCTCACTCCCATTACCTGCAAAATCAACTTGAGGTCGTGAAACTTGGGGGCGTTAACGTCGTGGTTTCGTGATCGCATTGCTGTCTATTAGGCTCACCAGCTGCAACACTGCAGAACATCATCCTGTTAGTGGTTGTGGTGGGTGGCGGCGGCGGCGGCGGTGGTGGTGGTGAAGCAGAGGTGACCATCATGAGCCAGATCGATGCAACTCTTCGCCAGCAGCTTCGCCACCCTACGATCGTCATGCCCTTCGTCATCGCGCTTATCATCAGTTCCCTCATCATCTAGATCACCAGCATTTCAACATTCAGAGGGCTACAGCATGCCAACAAGTATCATCGTTACCAGCACGAGCATCATCACCATCATCGTCATCACCATCACCATCTCAATCATCATTATCATCATCATCACCACCACCATCACTTCCATCACCATCATTGCTGCCGCTGCCCTTATGACCATCTCTACATCTTCTTGTTGCGCTCGTCCTTGATGTTCTGATCCTCGTCGTCCACCCACATCATGACCACCAGCATTCTTACTATTAGCAGCATCACGGCTATCCCCATACTGACCATCCTCGTCATGATCTTCGCCATCATCATCGTCCAGCTCCACCACCATCTCCACCGTTAACACTACTGACGTTGTGGTTTCGGTGATGGTCAGGGGCGATCAAGATCAAGATAAGCAGGAGCAGGGACATTGTAATTCTGGCCACTTCCGAGCATGGGCGTGGTGATGCCGATGACGTTGATGACCGTCGTCAACATGATGATGTTGCAGTTGCTGCTGCAATGATGCTGATAGTGCTACGGTGTCCACCAAAAAGCCTTATGCAAGCCATGTGGACTGCCCAGGTCACCATCCGCTCCACACTGGCATGCGACTGTCTGCTGCTGCAGTGCTGATCTGAGGAAAGTCGAACTTAATAGCAAGCATCATGCTTGCTCGGCGTGTTGACAAAGTTTAGTGTCTTCTCTGAGGCAGTCGACGATCCAGAAGGCACTGGATGACGAACTAATGGAGGATGACATGCTCCCGTGAGCCTTTCTATCGGCGTGATCATCAGGACTTTCTTTTAGGAAGCTTGGGCGTAGACTACCACAAGAGAACGATCATGGTGGGCCAGCTTATTGACTTCCAGTACAGGTGTTTGAACAGCTATCTCTGTGTCTCTCTCGGTCTCCCTCTCTCTGTCTCTCGCTCCCTCCCGCTCTCTCTCTCTGTCCCTCACTCTGCTTTCTCTCTGTTCCAGTTCGGCCCTTCCAGCTGTGCCGTTGGTTTAGGTACACAGCAGCGGTGCGGGTGCTCTCGGGTGGGGAGATCCTGGATGCCTTCGGCTTCCCTGTGGGCGACGGAAGCCTTGGCCCCGGTCTAGCCGAAGAGCTGAAAAAGAGCACAGAGCCTATCAGCGAGGGCAGATTGAGGTGCCAAGAATGTGCCGGACTGCGTGGAGAAGAGTGAGGCCGGAGATGGCCGGAGGGTCCCGCTGGGGCGGAGCTGAGCCTCTGTCGCGTGAGGTCTTCCGCGCCTGCTCACGCAGCTTCGTCTCGCAGGTCGCTGAGATCGTCGAGGACGGGGCACGGGCACCGCTGTGCCGATCCGCCAGACGCGCGTTCCGTGCATAGGACCTTGCGTTCTGGCCCGGCGAGACGCTGTATTTGCAGTATGACGAGGAGGGCTGAGGGCTGTAGACTATAAGAGAGTGCTCCGTCGTGCCGTCGTGTCATCCCCTGTTGGCCCCGTCGCGAGGGGAACTTCATGTACTTCATCCGCTCGGGACGGGTCCGTCTGGAGGCGCAGAGCCAAGCGCCAAGTGGAGCCAAGCGGAGCCGAGCCAGTCGGGAGGTCCTAGGCCGCAAGGAGCACGAGGTCGTCGAGGCTGGGACCACCCTGGGGGACATGGCCGTGTTGGACCAGGCCAGGGGGCAGTCAGGGTCAGGGTGGCCAGGGCCGCTCCGGCGTGTCGTGGTGGCGGTTGGGCCAGGTGCCGCACTACGTGGAGTCGGCTTACGCGGAGACTCATGTCTGGGTCAGGGCGCTGAACAAGAAGCCCGGGGGCCCTAATGACCGACAGACCGACCTTCGCCTTCAGCTTCTTTCCGCTTGCTCCCAGACTTCTGCGGCGGTCTCTGAGCTCTTTCCCGGAAGAGGAACGATGCATGCTCGGCCAGGCGACGGGGGAGGGCCAGGTGTGGCAGGTGCGGTGTGTTGGCGTGGTCTTGCCTTTCAGCCTCCTGCAGAGGTCCACGCGGCCAATCCGGGCATCTTCGGATAATGCTCCTGGTTGTGCGGTCTCACCCGAGTCTCACCCTCAATCCAAATTCGCTCAGCCACTGAAGGTGGATGCGAGTCAAAACAAGTTCGATAGTCGGACAGCGACAGCATGCGACACCATTCGAGCGAATGTCTAAGAGTCTAAGACAGCACAGTGCTCTTTCTCCCTCTCTCTCTCTCTCTCGAGTAGTGGACTTCGTGCCGCGAGTCTGAGTAATCTGGGTTGCACACCAGCACTGGCAGAGCATCGGCACGCAACGCTGAAGAAGAGCGGAAGCGCAGTGCAACGCGCCTGTGTCGATCCAACGTACTGCCGCTTCGGGGCGGCGCATCAAAGAATTTTGCCTCGCCATGGCGACGGGTGCGACGAACTCCGGGCCATCCTCAGGCCAGTGTGCGGACCACGGACTGCACGCAGCGGACTGCTCTCCTGTTTGCATGTCTCTGTCCTCTCCGAAGGGAGAGGGTGTGAACTGTGTGTCTTCTTTTTGCGCTATCCATGTCTTGTTGCGTGGCTTGCTTCTGTTTGTTTGCTGCGTTAAGCTGTGTCTTTGCTTTTGCATTATCAGTGTTTTTTTCTGCTCTATCCGTGTCCTTTGTTTCTTGGAAGAGGAGGAGGAGGAGGAGTAGGCGGCCCCCCCTACCAACTACGTCTGTTACAAACCCTCTTAAGAGCACATCCCTTTTGCTCGGTATTTGCGGTGCGTTCGTCGTGTCATACCACTTCTTCTTGCCTCAACATCCACTCGTGGATTTGGAAGAATTGGGCTTCGGATTGGGGTTGGGGCCGTTTGGGGCGGTATCCCCTCGCAGAGCGTACAGGAAGACAGGCAACAGCAAGTGTCTCTTGTACTACAGGCGCACAGCTGTAGATCAGTACTCTGCTGAAGCCTTGGCAACAGGCATGGATACGTGCAAGTGATACGTGAAACTGACAGTTACCTGGATGTGTAACATTCAGTGTTTCAACCAGGCACAAACTTAAAAACACGTACAGCTGCATGGCTGTGAGGTCGGCTTTCTACATTGCCTGTTTTTGCCCAAGACAAATCAAGAGCGGAGTGAAATTGAGCTACAAATGTGGAATCTATACAACTATGTACGAAAGACCTTGATGTACTATTTGGCGATAGGCCCTCTGAGGAAGTATAATGATCCAGCCCCCAGCCCCCAGCCTCCAGCCCAGCCCTCCGCCAATTATATTTGTTAAAATCCTTACAATTTATTTAATTGGCAGGCGCCTCCAGCTGCGTTCTCTTGAAAGTCTGTGGATCCATTCGCGGAGAGGTTCTGCGGCGGCTTCGGCGGTTTCGCCTCTTTCGGAGAAGCTGCTGGAAGAAACTGTCCCGGGCATCAGTGCCCGGGAGGTGGAGCTTGCCCTTGGGCCGCGGTTGCACAGGGGTTGCTGTAGGGCTTAGGCCTGGCCCCCGCCCCTGCTGCTTCAGCTCTCTAGGGTCGGGCTTTGTGAGGTGCGGAGGTGCCTGGCAGCCGTGGAGGAGCGGGCGAGGAAGCTGGAAGACCAGGCCCGGCGGGCTCACGGCACGGAGCTTCAGAGCCTGCGTAGCTGAATAGCGAAAGGGGATGACCAAAAAGAACTTCGTCTTCGGGGTGGCGAACTCGTGCCTTCAGCTCAAGAGAGGAGAAAACTAATTTGCTCTTAAATTCAAAACTCTTCGGACAGGCTCTTTGTAGCTTGGAGCTTCGGAGCCCTTCCCGGCTACTTCTGGATCGCCGCTCGGCAGAGTTGGGGGCATTTCAGATTTCACTTCCGCCACGAAAACTCGCCCTGCCAAGGTCTACATCATGGAGGCCCACATTCGGCTCAAAAAGCGACTCCGGGGCCGCAAGCTACAGAATGCTAACCAATTATTTATCGGACTCTTCTCATCGACCGCTACGAAGTTTTCGAGTAGGGTTGATTTTGCGCCGATGGACAAGCGCATGCCGGCGTGCCGACTACGTTCGTTGAAGCCTCCCGCTGTTATCGTGATTGTGTTGTTTCTTCCCGTCGTCATGGCCTCGGCATCATACCTCCGTCGCTGTGGCTCCCGTCTTTTGTGGCAGATTATGTTTCTGAGAGGTAATTAGTTTGAATCAATACGTACCCTAGATCTGTTGACCTCATCGAGCCAAATCCAAGCTCTGCGTTGTGAGTCGATAGATCCAAGCGACAAGGAACATTAACACACATGTTGATGTCAAGTAGCTTGTTGTCCAGTTTGCCGCCAGGTCTGCGTCCTGCTGCCTATCCGCTGGAGGAAGATGATCCATGCCTCTCCGAAGCAGCACCTGCGCCCTCCTCTTGCAAGTTGTTTCGAGTTCGGTGGTGTTCGAAAGTGTTCACAACAGTGTGTCACTTGCACATCAGCAGAGTTTGTAACATCTGTCTCAGAAGCTGGCAGGGTGAACACAATGGAATCATGCAGAGGTACTGGCTCGACTTCTGCTGGATGGCAAATTTCTTTGGCGCCCGGGCCCCCAGTGCATGCTGAAGAGAGACCTCTGCAGCTTCTCACACTTGCCTCGCACGTGGCGGGCACTAGAATCTGCACCGGTGGCTTTCCACAGGGGTGCCGCAAGCTGTCCGTTATCAAAAAGAAGCATGGACGATAGTGTGTGTGTGTGTGTCTTGTCAAGAAGAAGTGCGGACTTTGATCCATTAAAAAACATACCGACGAAAGGGAAGGCGTGGGCGGGCGTGTGGCCCTCCACGATCTTTCTTTTGGGTGCAGTGACCCAGGTCTTCCTACTGCTGGCCCTGATGGTGTTTACCATCCCGCCCGAGATTCAGAGATGGCGCTGGACCTCAGATTCCTTGAGCGGCCAAGGGCAGGGTACCGCTGTCGTGCTGAGGTGCATGTGTGCCAGCTGGGGATTAGGTGCCTTGGAAGCTGAGCTGAAGCACTGAAGCACTTGCACCCCTCTTGTTAAAAAAAAAAACACGCCGGCTTGTGTAGGCACAGGGACCTTGCTCTGCGCCACCACGGCCTTGGGCAATGCCTTGCTTTTCCACGATCTCGAGCCTCGGCAGCCGTCGCCGCAGCGGCCGCAGCTCGGTTTTCTTGCCCGCACGGCACCACTGCCAGTCTCTGTCTTAGGACAACGTTTGCGCGGTCTTGATCCACCTGCACCCTGGCAACCATGATTCTACTCTGGGTATGAAGCTTCGTAGCTTCTGCTTCTGTGCTCATAACGACTATAATTTAGCCTATCTGCCGGTTGGTTTAGCCCACTTAGGCAGTTCTTTTGAGTTAGTCTGGATGACTTGAGAGGGCGTCGGGAACACAAAAGAACTAGTGACTAGGCAATGTGATTGGTCATGAGTCATGATGTTCAACTTACACAACAAGTACGCCGTTTCAGTCTTCCACCCAACTTCTATCAACTGCATCAATCTACAGAGACTTTCCGATGTAGTTTTTTCCGGATCAGAACTGCAGAACTCGCCAACCGCCCCAACTCTCATGAAAGATCATCTCAGCCCCCCCCGTAAATTGCAGCGCTACATGTGTCATAGAGTCTTCCTTAAGGCGCAGTTCAAGTGATGCAATGCACCAAAATCGGAGACCTGCAATGTGTAGATTTGCCCTTGCTCATCTTCCCAGTTCTTGGGCGTCTACAGCGATCATATTGCCTTAGCCGTACTTCATGGACCATACCGAGGAGAACTTGCCAAAACCCGGCTATTGGATTTCCCCTATGACGTGCTTAGATCAGATTTGCAGCATGGCGCAGTTGCACCATTGCGCAGGTTCGCTTTCCAGTTTCCAAGTCACATTGCCGATCGGCATTAGAGTGTCTCCAGCGGTCGTGTCTCGCTGGTGTCTGTGCTGTATGGAGGGGAAGGGCAAAATCATCATGAAACGGAACGACGGTGCACAAGCATACATTCGTTGACCACATTTTAGTTTTAGGTAACCATGGTTTTGCATGTGCAGTTTCTGGCACGCTGCAGTGTGCCACGGCTCCAAAAGTACATGTAAAAGCGTCTACCACTACTGTACTGTATTGATCACTACTCTATTGATGCAGAGACTTAATAATGCGAAGGGCCAGACAGCGCTCTGGCCCATTGCTTTCGCAGATCTTGTGAGTCTGGCTGAATTGCCAAGCCAAGATTTAACGAGTCATGTGGGCACGTCTGTCACACGTCGTTTCTTCCGGAGCTTGACAATGCAGACCATGCATGCTCGTAGAGCGGCAGACATTCGTCTGTCCATGGAATCTTCTCCGGAGACATTTGGATGACTTGCGGTTTACAATGTAAAAACCGTTTCAGAATAAATGGATGCCCTCACTATCTCATGAATAATGTTCTTGAGCTTCCGAGAAAGACAAGGCGGACTTTGATTGAATTCTTTCTTTGAATCTGCCAATGCAGTTTCAACATGTTCCAGCAACTCATGTCGTGCGTCCGAGATTACCTGGGTAAATCTACAGCCGCTCCCGCCGGGAGCGGCAATCTTCTGCCCGGCCATTTGCATACATACGGACAGACCTAGAAAGTTGTCAAGTTGCGGGCTGTTCGTTTTGAATCCAACCTCACTGGCTTTACCTTCGGCTTTGGGCTTTGCTGTTGCTTTGCCTTTTTTGGTTGGGGGCTCAACGCCGTCTGCAACAGCTCTTCTGGGCGATCAGCAAAGCGTTGCGAATGTTGCTAAGGCTTTGCTATGGCAGTACACCTGACTTCGAACTGCGACTGTGGTCCTGCCGGAAAATCATGTACCCAGTATTTGACACAAGTACGAGCCGAATGCAGAACCAGTTGATTTTGCGCGATGTCTTGCTCCGGAATGCCACTACCCATTTCATGCAGAAGTGCTGTAAGCGCACTGCAAATAAAAAGGCACTGTTAAACTGTACAATACATCCGTGTGTGCAAATGTGGGCAAGTCTGCAAGACTGGCTGAATGACAACGCTTTCTTCCCCTACTTGTAAAGTTTGCTGTTCCAGACTACTCTTTAGAGCAACGACATTCAAGCATTGAAGCTCGTAAAGCGCGAGATGACAGATTCTGAGGTTCCCTTCTTTGGTCATGTACGAACTGGGCTGGAAGCGGGGTGACGTTCATGCCGCATGGCCACGCATCTTCCTGCAGCGCCATGGCAGATAGCAGATGAGAGACAGCGATCCTAGAGGAGGGAGCAGCGGAATCTTCGACACCACGAAGACGCTCCCGTCAATGTGCAGGTGTAATTTCTTCGAGTCCCTCGATCCGCCGCTCCGACAAGTTCAGCAACGGAGTGTGGGATTTTGCTCCGTACTTCAGGGCGACGAAGGTGACCGGAGGGCCAGTTGTGGAGCCAAAGTAGACGATTGAAGATGAAGGAGCTATAAGAGCAATATGCGTGTGCCTTCTGAGTAGGTTTGGGGACTCGGCAGTTTCAATCGCAGCGGTTCAGGATGGAGATTCTGTACAATGCCTGCCTTGTGTACGGTGTTTGGTTTCTGCTCTACGTCTCTTGGCTCCTCGCTGTTGGTCGACGATGCCCCAAGCATGGATATGCTGCCCGGCGAGAAACGTTAAGCGCCGCAAGCAGGCATACCAGATCGCCGTGACGCCGTCCTCAGGACACGATCTTCCACTGGGCGATGCGAGGTTCCGCCGGAACTGTCGTGGCAAAGATCTTGCAACAGAAGCCAGAGGCCCCTTGCTCAGCCCTGGCTCTCCTCGCTCTTCGAGCTCTAACAGCTGCCGTCTCTCGCTGTGCTGTGAGGTCCATGCAGCTTACGCTGAGAGCAATGACTTTCCGCTGGCCTACGTCTTTGTCTACATGGCCTTGCATGCAGCATCGGCCGCTGGGGTAAATCAGCATCTGGATGGTGGTGACTTCAAGCGGCACTTCTTATGACACGATAGGTTCATTCAAGCCAATGGCTTGATCGAGGTACTGGCGAGCATTCCGGTGTCGCTGTTGTGCTCCTTGGTTGAAAGCCATGTTGAGGTGAGGACTGGAGATGCTGTTGCGCATGCCCAAAATAAAAAGGTAGCAACAAAATGGGCGCCGGTCGGTGTTGCATCTCGCCAGTGACGCAGGAAGTTTGCCGGTCGGTCGCTTGCATCGTTGTCGCTTACAAGCTTCGATTGGCAGCCACGAAATGTGCGCGGCACCAGCTCCTGTGCAAATGGGCATGCAGCGGGCATCACGGAACGAGTAAGTTGACGGTATTGAATGTGAATACGACAATGCTGTCCGCGTACATCGAGCTCATCGCGTGTTGACTGGCAGGCTACACCAGTCAGTGGATCCACGTGCGGAGCTGAGCTCTGCAAGACACAAAAAAAAGGCCAAGAGCAATGCTTCAAGAGCAGCGAGAGTGTCTCAAATTAGCTGAGGTCAGCCTTTGCGCCTGCGTGCTCCTCTCCACGATCTACAACGCGTCTGCGCGCTACACGCGACCTTGACTGAACAGGCAGCCAAGGCCTTTCAGGACACGGTTTTCTCGCCTTTTTCCAGCAGATTTCACCGCTACGTGATGGGAGGTCCGAACTGGGGCCAAGCTTAGCTCCTTTCCCTGTGCCTTAAGGTTCTACATGGTGAAGAGCTACACGGTGGCTTTGAAAAAGGAGCTGACGCTTCTCCCTGCATTTAAACTCAGCTCTTGCTACTTCACTGGCACTCTGAACACCAGTCATCGAGCCGAGGAGAATACCTCGCGATCGCGGCGCTTCAGCCCTCTATGATCGCGATGAGAACTGAGAGCGACGGTGTCGGGAGTGGCAAAACGGAAACGGAGAGCGGGCAGAAGAGGCCGCAGCCCGTGGAGCCATGCAAGTTCTCGGCCTTCGCGCTTGCCGCAGTGCCGCAGTGCCGCAGTGCGGGCTCATGGAGACCCGTTCACGCATGGCGGCGTCTTCGCATACGTAGCTCGGCTCCGCCCTCGCCCTCGCCCTCGCGGCACTGATCAGGCGACTCTCAGACTCGGATAGCCGGCTAGCCCGCCCGTGACATCGTCGCTGTGAGTCCTGAAGGTTATGACCGAGACATGGCAGCAGTCGCAGCAGCCTTGGCATCAGGACTTCCTGAGACTGACAGAACGATTTGTCGTTTCTGTTTGAGGTACTTGTACCCTGGGCCGCTGCTGGTGCGGAGCGTGGTTTCCACCACGCCCTTGTCCTCCCTTTATGGCACTGCCCGGCAGGTGCGAAACACCTTCATCGACGACCCCTTAGGACGTGACTGCCTGACGGAGGGCTTCTTGAAGGAGCGCCAGGCCGGACGTCCGTTTCGCGAAGTTTCCACGGATTGTTTAGACGGGAGCTCCTGGGCATGGGGCCGGTCTCGGGAGGCTTTCTCCTGCCCTGTGAGCCGGATCTCAGAGCCTGGGAGCGGAGTGGAGGCGCGCGGGAGCGGATGCGAGGACGCATCTTCCGACTCGCCGATCCCTCGCTCCGCGCGCCCGCGCGGTCCGCCAGGTGTTTGAGCCGAGAGCTCAGAGTCGCCAGAGTCCGCCGGCAGCTTCTGGGCTAATGGGCTTCTGACCGTCAGGGCCGACAAGGCGGTACCAGAAGCGCTGGCCTGGTTCCGAGAAAGCTCCGCCGAGCCGTGGCTGTGGTGCTGTCCTTTCGTAGGCTCCGCCCGAAGATGCGGAGAGCTCGGACTGCAGCACCTCCTGCACCGACGGCCTCCAAACGCTCCCTCCGGCAGCGCCCGCAGCCGCAGCGCAGAAAGCCTCACCCTCGGACCGGAGCCGCACGAAGGGGCCACACAGAGACGAGCTGTAGCGGGTTTTTTGAGGGTCCAGAATGCAAAAACCGTTCAGATTGGTGATGCGCCGCTGCGAGGTTCCTTCGCCCGACGTCTCGGACTTCTCTCTGTCTCTGCCCAAGCAAGTGCAGCACGGGCGCAGCACTTCGCGAATCCGACAGAAGTTGCAGAAGCTTGAGCTTCTTAGTGTATGCCCGGTTGCTTTTGGGCAGTTCTCTCCGTGGTGTCAGGTTCGGCATGCGGCTTTCAGAACTTCCCCTTCCGAGCGAAGAGGCGCAGCACACCAACGCGAGCCTCCCAGCAGATTCACTCACAGAGAAGGCAGCACACAGATGTGAGCGCAGCAAAGCGACAGAGAGAGAGCTAGAAAGATTCTCAATCCGGTTCTCCATGACTTGTGCACAAGCAACAAGCCGCAAGTGTATGCTTCTTTAAGTCGAGTTTTGTCGATCCTCGCGATGCCCAAATGTGCAGCCGAGCCTCTGGGGGCACGTGCGGGGGTTCGGGCGTCCGCTCGTGCCTTCTGTCCGGGTACAGAGAGAGGGGAGAGAGAGAGAGAGAGAGAGAGATGGGATGGCACGGGGACTGGTACGTACTGCGTTCACAGCCCTACAAACACTGGGGGGTCCCCTGTGGCCGGGGAGCTTGACTCGCTCCCTAAACCCTGTGGAAGAAGAGAAAGATCCGTTTATGCGTGCAAGAGTGTTAGGGACAAACGTATGCTTTTGCGCACAATCTTGGGGCTTGGGAGCCCCGGAGGACCACTCCTACGGGATTTCGGCCCAGGGAGTCTCGAAGGCTCCCCACGCCTGGGAGAGAGGGAGAGAGGGGGAATCTGCAATTACCCTGAGTGCTGTCCGAGGCCCTGGCTCCCGATCTCAGCTACAGCAGCTACAGCTGCAGCTACTTGCTGCCTGCAGAAGGCAATGCGCTTTGGGAACCCGGCACAGCCTGTTTTGACTTGTGAGCGGCAGGAGTCGTTCCGGCGGGACCACCAGAGCCTCTGCCGCCCGGTTGGGAGCCGACACTTCCGCCTCAGGCTGGGCCGTGCTGGTGTGCGGCAGCTGCAGTTCGCTGCCCACTTGTTTACGTTCTCTTCAGGTGCTTCGCTTGGAAGAGGCCCTGAAGGAGGAAGCTTCGGTCTGGGCCTCGCAGAGCCTTCCCGATTCTGAAGCCAATAAATCCTTTTTTTTTTTTGCCAGGTCAGCCAAGCCGGGCCCCCGGCCACTGCGCTTGGGTTTTCCATTCGGCAGGCTTGACAACCCGCCGAAGGTCCACCAGGCAGCGGCGCTCGCAGCTGCGGGTGCGATCGGCGCTAGCCACGAGGAGCAGGTGCGCATGAAGCATTGTGGAGTACTCTTGTGGGCACAACAGAAACCAAGGTCGCAGCAGCCAATGCTTTTGCTGCTTCGGCCTCGACTGTCATGCAGGAGTGGCCGGCTTTAAATGCGCTCTTCGCAGCTCCAAGAATGAGAGAGAGCTTACACACCTTGCTGTTGCTCGAGGGTGCAAACATCATCGGTGAGCCGAGTGCCGGGTCCACCGGGCACTACCAGGGCCAGTGCAGGCGCCTGCACTGCGAGGGATCCTTGTCTCGGCTCTCCCCTCGGAGCTCCTCGCGCCTCCAGGCCGTGCGCCTTCGCCACCACAAAGGCACACGACCTCCGACGTACGAGACGAGTGTACGCAAAGCATCGCAAAGCCATGCCAAAGATCTCTGGCAGGGATGTTCCAGCGGCAACGAGTGCCAGTTCTGCCACCTCTGTGCACCGGGTATCTGGGCGAAAGAGTGCTCAGACATGCTGAGACAAGGAGGTAGCACTGCGGAGATATTTGTGGCTGTAAGGCGAGAAGAAACGACGGCAAAAGGTGGGCAGAAGCTGTGTGGCTGTTTTGTGAAGCCAGTTTAGCGTCTGTAAGGCCAAACGTGCCTTCTTCGGTGCCTTGGCAGAGATGCAGCGGGCACTGACTGAGAGCGCGCCGCTGAGCGGAGCAAGCACGCAGAGCCAAAGCCCCTAAATTAGGGGGCCGTGCATCGGCTGCAGCATTGGAATCTGCTTGCTGCCGCTTCGAGCCCAGTCTCTATAGGGCGTGTAAGCTTGCCTAGCAGTAGGGAGTTACGGTGTCGTAAGGCAGACGGCTCTTGGGAACCAGGCATTGCATGTGCTTCTCGAGATCTCTGCTACAAAAGCAACAGAGATCTTGGTACTGTAGTTGCTCCCGCCCTTCCCGACGCGCAGAAGGTGCAGGGAGCGGGCAGAACGTTCCGAGTAACTTTGCTGAAGGAGTTTCACGCTTTGAAACTGTGGAGATGGGCCTTGACCGTAACTCTCAAATCGTGTTGATGCCTGTGCTCGGCTATCGCTCAAGTACTCTGTGTACACATGAGAAAGTGTTCACCGCTAGAGCCGTCCCCAGCGTCTCCTTCTCACATGATGGACACAAAGTCCGAGCTGCTCAACGGCAAAACAGGGCGATCCTGGTTATAGAGAGACAGATAGAGAGATGCGCAGACAGCCGCACCGATAGTTTTTTGTTGACAGACACACATATGAGCATTGTTCTTTTTGGTGGGCTCGTTTGACACTACTAGGAGGGCGATTAGCGAAAACTCGGTCGCATAAAAAGTGCACGCCCTTTCGATCGCGCGCAAGGGCGAGCGCAAGCTATGCTCAAGGCTTGTTGTTAAGGTTGGTTGAAGAGTGATACTGAGCAGCGTTGTAGGTAGATTAGCCTTGAAGCCCCAGTGTTCTACCTGCAGCCGAAGCTTGGACTCGAAGCCACCAATGATCAACAAGCCACGGTAACAAACCCTAGTCTTCAAAAGACCTCGTGCGCGCAAGCACGCCCAAGGAACGCGCAAGGGCGAAGCGCAAGGGATCCTAAGTGGCATGCGTGAAACAAGGGTATAGGACAATTCTCATATATTGAGAGACTCAGACATTCGAACTCCATGATATTAATTCAGATATATATTCATCTGAGATTTCAATTCGAAAAGTTTTATGAGAGGTCTCTTAATAGGCTCTGGTTTCTTTGCGGCTGCTTATTAAGTAGACAAATATTGAATATTTGGTTTGTAGGAAGTAATAGCTTTGAGGGCGCGTTTCGGGCGAATATTCTGTAGGAAAGGAACTTGATATTAATATTTCGTCTACTTAGAATTTCGTCGTTAAATAAAAAATTCTGATTAGATAGATTATCCTCGTTTCTCTTATTAAATGAGAAGGTCATATAAAAGATCTATTCATTATATCTTGGATTTATTTCATATTTATATACACTTATTTAGGGAAGATAATTGAGGTCTGATTATTTCTTGATATTTTAAGGCTAAAATTGAATTTGATCTTATCTTTATAGAATCGATTTTATAAGATAGAATCGAATATTTTCTAATGTAAGTATCCTAGAGTGTGGAATTCGATTTTATAATTCTGGTATCGACTTTAAAGGATAAGCTTGATTATCTTTTCTGGGATTATTATTACCTATAGTGTCAACAGGAATAGCCTATTCAGG